TATACCCATGTATATGTACACGCACCATCCGTGTATATATACCCATGTATATGTACACGCACCATCCGTGTATGTATACCCAGACATATGTACACGCACCATCCGTGTATGTATACCCAGATATATGTACACGCACACCATCCGCCCACAAATTACGTGCAGCACGCAGTTTTAGGTACTAGAAATAAAAGCCTTGCAATGTCATCCTAAACACTTTCTAAAGGGCTACTTTGGGAATTCTTATCGACTTTAAGAAAAAAATGGAAGGCAATGTAACTTCCTAGAGAAGAGACATTAAAAGCCAAGACTGAATGCTACTGTGTGGAAAGAACACAAATTCCATGATTAGCCACTTTGGGTTTACAGCGTCAGAGGGAAGACGGGGCCACCTGGCCTGGCCGACCAGACGTAACCTGGGCTCTGAGAGGTGACAGAGACCAAAGTCCCGCGGCCTCCAGGTCAACGATGAGCACTGACCTGTGCCTACAGAAACGTGCTGACAAGAACCGAACCCCGAATGTTCTGAAAAGGGTGACTTACATTGATCCCGTAATGCTCTGTGACTCCTCGGCCGTGCTCACCTAGGACTCCAAAGGAAAGGCTTTCCTCCAGGAAGATTCTTGCTTTGTATTTATATTTTAACTTAACCTGAGTGTTAGATAAAACAGAACTTAAAAATATTGCGTAGCAGGATATAGAACATATTGAGAAGAAAAAAAATCAAACTTATAAAAGAGGAAAAAAAATGTACTTAAAATAGATGTTCTAAAATAATTCAATTTAACTCACAGTAGAAACAGTATAACTTGGGGAGAATTATGTCTTTTCAACATAGACTGTTTTCCATCCATTAATATGAAAGAGATACTACACAGTTCTAAAAATCACTGAGGAAATATTTAATGACAACAGTATTGGTGCCCAAACAGATGAATCAGTGAAGAAAACAGAGAAACCAGAGTCTAACCCTGATATGTAGCATGTAGTCTTTACATGCTCAGTGCTTACATGTAGCTGACGTGTTCCTGTATCTTAGACTTCGCTTCATCGCTCCGGCTGTACGACGGCCCGTCGGTACCTCACTGCCCTATTACCATCGTGCCCTAACACACAGCTCTAGTATCTTCTGGTCCACTCCCCACATCATTCTCTTCTGTGAATTTCTGACACTCTCACAAAACCAGGCAAACAAATACAGCTGGTTCATGCCACTCACAGGAATTGTGTTCTACACAGTCACCACAGCACTGAATTAACGAATACTCAATCTTTGCTCCCAGGGGAAACACAGGGTTAGGTTCCTGGTCACAACATTTTTGTCAAATGTTCAAACCTTGTTTTGCAGGTTTGTCTAAAAAAAACCCTTTAGTTAATACATACTGTTGATCTATTACCATCGAACTCATGGACAGAACCACCACAACTCATGCCTTCCTGAAGCTTATCTAACACACAAATCTTCCCCATGAGACACTGAGACGCTTCCTGCTCTCAGAAACACGAGACACTTTAGCACCAGGCTTGGGGGCCACTGCAAATAGCAAATCACTAATAAACACTACAAAAATGTGAAGAATGTGGTACTCAGCAGACTGCAAAAAGGACACTTGTTTACAATACAAGAGCTGAAACAAGAAGGCAGAGAGTAGTCTCAACCTTAGCTGGGAATGTGTGCATCGGGCGACTCCAATTTTCTGTTGTTCTGCACAGGGACATAAATGACCACAAAAGGGCTCTAAGTATTCAGTCTGGGGTTACAAATAAACTCTGGCGAGCAGGCACATCTGTAAATATGGAATCGTGGATTATGAGGATTGACAGTATATCGTTCGTTAATATTTAGGATGTATCTAGATTTCCTCATGAAGTAGTGAAAATTTTAAAAAATAATATATGAAATTCTTGCTTTGAATCCTTATTCAATTCACGGATGCCCAAGATCAACTCTCAGTGGTCAAATGCAAGGTTGGTTCAATATACAAAAATCAATCAAGAGAGAAGGAAAATCACATAATCATCTCAATGGAAAAAACCAACAACCTTTCATGAAAACACTCAATAAAACAGGAATAGAAAGGAACTTCTTCAACCTGATATAGGGCAGGCATTTATAAAAAAATCCACAGCTAACATCATATGCAGTGGTGAAAGACTGAAAAAGCCTCCCCCCTAAAATTAGGAAACAAGACAACTGGAAGTCTGTAAATATACCCTCATAGATGGTCAAATGACTTTTGACAAGGATGCCAAGACTATTCAATGGGGGAAAGCACAGTCCTTTAACAAGTAAGAGTGAACAAATGGGATATCTACAAGCAAAAGAATGATGTTGGACCCTTGCCTTAAAGTCAACTTACAAAAATCAACTCAAAAATATAAGCGTTAAAACCATAAACCTTTTAAAAGAAAATATAGGGGGTCTATCTTCATGACCTTGGATTAGGCAATGGATTTTCAGATACTATACTAAAAGCATAAGCAACAAAGAAAAAATAGATGAACTGGATTTCATCAAAATAAAAAACTTTTGTGCATCAAAGTACGTTACTAAGAAAGTGAAAAGACAACCTACAGAATGGGAGAAAATATTTGCAAATCATCTCTCTGATAAGGGTCTAGTACACAGAATATACAAAGAACTCTCAAGCTCAACAACAAAAGGATAAACAACCCAATTAAAAAATGGGCAAAGGACTTGAATAGACATTTCTCCAAAGAAGATATAGAAATGGATAATTAGCATACGAAAAGATGCTCGAGGTCATTAGTCATTGCGGAAATGCAAATCCATACTACAGTGAGATACCACTTCACTCACTAGGACGGCTATAATAAAAAATAACAAGTATTGGCAAGACTGTGGAAAAATGGGGACCACGGTCTCGGGGAACATCTAGTTCAATTGGCATAACACAGTCTATAAAGACAATGTTCTACCTTCTACCTTGGTGAGTAGCGTCTGGGGTTTTAAAAGCCTGTGAGCAGACATCTAAGATTCTCCACTGGTCTCACCCCTTTGAGGGCATGGGAGAATGAAGAAAACAAGATACAAGGGAAAGATTAGTCCAAAGGCCTAATGGACCACAGCTACCACGGCCTCCACCAGACTGATTCCAGTAAAACTAGATGGTGCCTGGCTACCACCACTGACTGCTCTGACCAGGATCACAACAGACAGTCCTGGACAGAGCTGGAGAAGGATGTAGAACAAAATTCTAACTCACAAAGGAAAAGACCAGATTTACTGGCCTGACAGACTGGAGAAACCCCGAGAGTATGGCCCCCGGACACCCTTTTAGCTCAGTGGTGAAGTCACTCCTGAGGTTCACCATTCAGCCGGGGACTGGACAGCCCCATAAAACAAAATGGGACTAATGAGGCACAGCAGTCCAGGGACAAGGACTAGAAGGCAGGAGGGGACAGTAAAGCTGGTAATAGGTCCTCCAAGGTGGAGAAGGGAGAGTGTTGACATGTCGTGGAGTTGTTAACCAATGTTATAAAACGATATGTGTACTGACTATTTAATGAGAAACTATTTGTTCTGTAAACCTTCATCTAAGGTACAAAAAAAAAAAAAAAGAATTATCTATGTGAGATCAAATGGACAACAGCAACTCAAAAGGTTTGATGGGAACCTAGGGGGCAGTGAGTTGAAGATAATGGTGATGGAGTAATTTGAAAAAGGATAGTGAGAATAGCAGCACAACTGGAAGAATGTAATCGATGTCACTGAATTGTACATGTAGAAACTTTTGAAATAGTGTAACTTTGGCTATGTATATTTTCACAAAAAAAAAAAAAAAAAAAAAAAAAGGTCCTCCAAGGTGGAGAAGGGAGAGTGTTGACATGTCGTGGAGTTGTTAACCAATGTTATAAAACGATATGTGTACTGACTATTTAATGAGAAACTATCTGTTCTGTAAACCTTCATCTAAAGTACAATAAAAAAAATTTAAAAAAAAATAAAGAATGTGGAAAAATTGGAACCCTTATACATTGCTGGTGCGAATGTAAAATGGTGTAGCTGCTATCAAAAACGGTTTGTCAGTTCCTCAATAAGAGAAATATAGAATTTTCCTACGATCCAGTAATTACACTCCTAAATACATACAAAAGAATGTAAAACAGGTATTCAGATACTTGTATATGAATGTTCATAGCAGCACTATTCACAATAGCTAAAAGGTAGAAACAACCTAAATGTCCATCAACAGATGAATGAACCAACAGAACATGGTATAAGCATACAGTGGATGATTATTCACGCATAAAAAGGAATGAATGAATGAACAGAATGTGGTATAAGCATACAGTGGATGATTATTCACGCATAGAAAGGAATGAATGAATGAACAGAACGTGGTATAAGCATACAGTGGATGATTATTCAC